TTACTTGTTTGGCATTATGTCTGTGAGATTTATCCATGTTGATGCATGTAGCTGTATTTCTTCATTTTTGCTGCTGTATAGTATTTCATTATATAACTATATAACATTTTATTTATCACTTCTACTGTCAGTGGACATTTGGGATATTAAGTTTTTGCTACTGTAAACAATGTTTCCATGGGCATTCTTAAACTTGTTCCTGGTAGAAATCTGTGAGTTTCCATAGGGTTTTTTCCAGGAGTGAAGTGCTGAGTCATAGGATATACGTACCATCAAATTTACTAGAAAATGCCAAATTATTTTCTAAAGTGGTTGTTACAGTTTGCACTCCCACCAGCCACGTGCGAAAGGCCCTGTTACTCCACATCTTCGCCAACATTTGGTATTTTGGGACTTTGACATTTTTTCCAGTCTGGTGGGTATAAAATGTTATCTCTTTTGATTTAGCTTGCATTTTCTTGGATACTTTTCCCTTGATATCATTTCATAAATGTATACATCATTCATGGCTTTTCTTTTATAGTTTCTGTTTATGTCTTTTGTTTATTTTTTAAAATTGGTTGCTTTCCTTTATATATTGATTTGTAGGAGTTTATATTCTGATTACTACTAGTCCCTTGACAATGAGATATTTTGCAAATATCTTCTCGGAGGTTGTAGCTTGTCTTTCCTCTTACCCAATGGCAATTTTTTTTATGAACAGAATTCATCAATTTTTACATTTCCCTTTATGATTTAAACCATTTTTTACCTGAAGAAACCTTTACTACCCTAAAATCATAAAGATTTTCTATGTTGTGTTCTAAATGTTTTATAGTTTTACCTTTTATATTTATATATTTAAACTATCTAGAACTGATTTTCCATGCATTTTCCAAGGTAAGGAACCAAGTAAATTTTTCTCCATAAAAATACCCAATTGTCCAAATGAAAAGCTCCTTTTCCTCACTGCTTTGCCACGTTGCTTCTGTTGAATATCAAGCATATATGTGTGGGTCTATTTGCCTGTCTTTGCCAATACCACACTCATGGAACTATTTTAGCTTGTCTTCACATATTGCTAGTTTTAGAAGAAATCTGTACATTGCTTTTCTCACAATTACAAAGAAAACGTCTAATGTGTCAACATTACACAGAATTAAGTCTAATGAACTAATTCATAATATTTAATCTTCTGTGTCAGTTTTGTTTCCTTCTATCTGATACTAGCAGGTACCTGGGCCTTGGTACATGCTTTTCATAGTACAATAAAAAAAGTGCAGGTTGGGGTTATCATCGAAACACATACATTGTATATTTTATTAACTGAAAACAATATATTATTATAGAAATTTCTGTTTTAGGAATTTGTGTAGATCAAATACATGCACAAATATTTCTAACTTATTCATCATATTAGTATGACTTTATAATCTAATTTTAGGTTATGTCTATCTGAGTGATAATTCTTATACGAATGAAAGGAAATGCTTGGGTTGTGTTTTTTTAAAGACAACTTTGTTTGCTAGGGGTCAGTATGTCCCAAGCTCTTTTGTCAAGCAGAAATAAATTAGAGGAACTAAGAGTATAAGTTAAGCCCAAATTTGTCATTGCAAAAGAAGAATATGGTTGCAAACAGCCTTATGAATATATAAATAAATTTAATGTTTGTAAACTTTTACTATTAGGATGTTAACATCAAACATCTTGGTACCAAAGTTCCTGGTAATCATCCTCCCATTGAAGAATTGCACTATTTATGGGAGAAGATAACATAATATGTTCTTGTTGCTGGCCTTGTGATGGCAGAATCCTTAGGACTTGGATAGGAAATGCCATTTAGGGAAATTATAACAAAGTTAAATTATATTTTTATACAAGATATATAGCAAAACACAGTCACTCACTGAAAGCTAATTTTTAAATATATCACTCAAACCAAGTACACCAATGTTGAATAAAACTGTAAGTTCAAATTCAGTTAAATCAATTTGCTCAGTGTCTTGAATTTAAAAATTACAAGGTTTCTTTTACTTCTATTTCTCTTTCATTATTTGCTCTTGGTAAGTTGGTTGATATTTAGAATTTTTCATTGTAAATTAAAAATTATAGTTAAATATTCCAAGATGTACCTTCAGTACTCTTCTCAAGAGCTGAGATTTATGTTTTTAAGGTAATTACAACACAGAGCATGAATACTGTGCCTGACTTTCTCCCATCTTTGTGCAGAAGGCAAAAGAGAGTAAATAAACTCAAGCAGAACCAGAGGTATCTTACTCATACTTTAGAGTTCATATTTTGTCAACATTTTGGACATGTTTTGTCCATATTTTAGAACCATGATATTATTATAGATGTTAATTTTTTTCAGGGAGGTAACAGTAATATTAATTGTTACAAATTCATTGTTGTTCCAAGTGAGGGTAGGAAATAAATAAAAACTGGGATAGTGATGAAGATGATACCACCAGGCCACATGAGACAGCTGCTTTTTAATTTTTAATTTTTCTTTAGAAAAGTGACCATTTAACACTATGGTTCTTTAATAAAATGCGATTCAAAATGACATAGTCTTGAGATTCACACTAAGCCCAGAGCCCCAATATTGAGATGTTGTGTTTCCTAAAAATTTTCAATTTGTTAATTCTAAGTGATTCTTTTGATGAAGGTCCTTGATTGGGAACATAAAAAGCAAAGAGATAAAAAGAGATTCATACTGATACAAATATGTAGATGATTTGGAAATAACTTAATTTACTTTTCTTTAGTTGCTTGCGGCCAGCCCCCTGTTGTAGAAAATGCCAAGACCTTTGGAAAGATGAAACCTCGTTATGAAATCAACTCCCTGATTAGATATCACTGCAAAGATGGTTTCATTCAACGCCACCTTCCAACTATTCGTTGCCTAGGAAATGGAAGATGGGCCATGCCTAAAATTACCTGCATGAACCGTAAGTGGTCCTTTAGACAGAACGGACAACCGTGCTATAACAACTACTAGACACCTACATTTTACAGCTGCGGTACTGGTAGTTTAGGGTATGGAGCAAGTAATATTGTTGTGTTTTCTTTCTTTCTTTCTTTTTTTTCCTTCCATGTAGCATCTGCATACCAAAGGACTTATTCTAAGAAATACTTAAAAAATTTCTCCTCATCAAAGGACAATTCAATAAATGCATCAAAACACGAGCACCGTTGGACCCGGCGGTGGCAGGAGTCGAGGCGCTGATCCCTAAAATGGCGAACATGTGTTTTCATCATTTCAGCCAAAGTCCTAACTTCCTGTGCCTTTCCTATCACCTCAAGAAGTATTATCAGTTGGTCTGGATTTTTGGACCGCTGTCCAGTCATTTTGGGTTGCTGCGCTCCCAAAACATTTTCAATGAGAGCATTGGCATTTAAAAAGAAAGCAAAAGAGATGAAAGAAAATGAGGGCAGAGAGTAACCATTTGCAGCCTATTTGATTTCTTGGGTTTCTACTTGCCTCCAGTGCAGATCATTTTCTAATGTATACCAGCCTACTGTACTATTTAAAAAGCTCCATTTCAGCACCAATGGCAATGTAAATAAGATGATTTAATGTTGATTTTAATCCTGTATATAAAATGAAAAGTCACACTGAGTTCTGGCATATTTAATGATGATTATGGAGCATTAGAGGTCTTTCATCATTGGTTTGGCTGCTTTTGGTAGTTTGTTTAGGCTGGAAATGGTTTCACTTGCCCTTTGACTGTCAGCAAGACTGAGGACGGCTATTCCTGGACAACTAACAAATACACAGTCTCGTGGGTCACGCTGCACCGTCTCAGCTGTAGGTGCAGTTGGCTTCCCTGTGCCGCTAAAGCCGGGCTAATGGGGTCCCAATGGAATGAGGGACTGCAATGTGGACCTCTTCTTTGCTGCATCCCTTTTTCTTCACTTACAAGAAAGGCCTGAATGGAGGACTTTTCTATGACCGGGAGCATTTTTTAGGGGTCAAAGTGCTAATTATTAACTCAACCAGGTCTACTTTTTAATGGCTTTCATAACACTAACTTTGCAAGGTTCCAGATCAACACATTTCAAATGGGTATAGATCCAGGGCTCTGGAGGGTGGGGGATTGTTAAAACAACAACACACATTCAAAGAAAAAAATTGTATATATAACCATTTTAATCTTTTATAAAGTTTTGAATGTTCATGTATGAATGCTGCAGCTGTGAAGCATACATAAATAAATGAAGTAAGCCATACTGATTTAATTTATTGGATGTTATTTTCCCCCAAACCTGAAAATTGACATAGTATGCTAGCTATTTTTCAGTGTTAGCCTTTGTACTTCTCTCACACAGTTTGGAACCATACACTCTTAGGTACTTTGTCCCTGATTCAATAATGTGATGGATAGAATGCATCAAGTGTTTATTACGGAAAGAGTGGAAACGTGTATAGCTTTCAGCGAATGGTGTTTGCCCATTCCAAGCAAGAAGCATATATATAGAAATAGTTAGGTGTATGTGTTAAAATGTCTTCCTATCTCTTACCACTCATTTTCTCCCCTTTATTTGAATAAAGTGACTGCCGAAGATGACTTTGAATTATTATCCAATTAATTTAATGTTTAAATAAAAATCTGTAATGGAAAGAAGGCATTTAGGAGTCTATCCCTAATTTCAGTTGGAATGATCTTGAGAAAAGTAGACAGCGTAAGAATTGCAAATAGCAAAAGAACAGGCTCAGCAATAATTCTTTTTCATAAAACCTCCTTTGCTTAGAAGTAACCACGGTAGCTACAATCATTCACACTGTCTGTGCAAGTTTCCTTGGTTGCTGCATTAACTGTAATCCACCACTGAGTGTTCCAGAGCACAGAACAACACTGTGCCAGCCTATCAGTTTTTCATTTTTCCTCTTTCATTACGATGCACATAATACATTCCTGTATTTATATTATATCATGTATAGTGTAAAATGTGAATGATTGTGGGTTTTTTTGTGAATGAAAATCTAAAATCTTTGTAACTTTTTATACCTGCTTTTGTTTCACCAAAGAAACCTAAAGTCCTTCTTTTATTACTGTGACTGGTCTGGTTATTTACAACTTTAATCCTAATATGCACCAACATTTTTACATTCTGGTTCCATCACAGAGTACAAGCTGCTCAGATGAAATGAATTTGTGGCTAGCAGAGAGGTGATTATATACATACCTGCAAAAATTGAGATAATTTTGATAATGTTTACATCTACATACCTATGCATTGATCTCAAATGTGAGAGTAACATGCAATAGGAAAAATGATAGCTCAGATTTACCAAGTGCTTCCAGGCTTAGTGTCTTCTGTGCATCATCTTCCAATAAGCCTGTGAGGGCACTGTTACTCTGGCTGATGAGGGGTCAGGTGTAGAGAACTCAAGTTATTGATCCAAAGGTACATATTTAGCTTGTAGTGGATGCATGTAATTGCTAGAGCCTGCAAAATATCCTTGAGAAAAAAATAAAATATTAAGCTCCCAATTATTATAGATTTAGGAGGTAAAGTTACTGGCTAGACAGTCATATTTAATTAATGACAAGATGTCAAAAACATTGTTTCTATCCACCTAGATATCCATCCATCTTTTCATTTTTCATTCACTTACTATTTATTAAGTACTTACTCTGTGTCAGGCAGTGTACTTAGCTCTGGAGGTCTGGCACAGAATGAACTAGACAGGTCTCAGCCACATAAATTTTTATACTGGATGCAACACATGGGTTTGTTTTACAGCCGGTTCTATTTGATATCTTTATCAATAACTCAGAAGAACAAATCCAGTACATGTTTTGCAGTTGTACAGAATATAGAAAGGATGAAGGTGAGTTGAAAATTCTATTGAGGTTTCTTTCTTGGAATGTCAAAAATATATGGGAAGTTGGGCATGAATAGATTCAGAAAAGGAGATTCTTTTTCTTGCTGAGCTTATCCTTTTAATCTGCAATCTCTCATCTTTTACACGGAACTTGAAACAGAAATGACCCAAAAGAGTATATACTGATTTGCATTACTTGTGCCTACCCTTTTGGATATTTATAATTCCACCAACCAAATTTTTGTTCCTCTGGATACAAATAATAAAAATGGAGATGTTCCATCACCCAGAATACTGGGACAGAGTAATAAGTTCCAGGAGACCTGCACTACTCAAAGTCAACCAGAGGTGGTTTTGTTTGTATCTAAAGGCAAGGTTGCATATCAGGGGGAGGAATGGGCCCCTACCACTGGTGGCTATTTAGGAAGAGATTGTCTTCCAGGGTAGCTGAAGTGGAAAAGAGGGAAGAGAAATTGTATAGGAGGGATACATCACATTAATGTGATAACAAATAGACCTTTGCTGATGTTAACTATATTTTTAATACTGTGCAGGAAGTAGGAAATAGATTAACCTTGAACTAATTGCTGAGAAGTCATAAATCATGTTAAATAAAGTTATGAAGCTTGGAAATGGACAGAAAAAAATGTAATAGGTCACACAAGGTTCAGAGCTGATTTTGTGCATCATCTGTGCATGAATGCCTGCCAAGGATAAAATCCACCAGAAAAAATATATTTTAGATAAAGGCAAAAAATGTTATTATCACATGGCTAAAAGGAACATGTATAAAGGACCCATGGACAAAGCCAAAGGGTGGTAGGATCGAGGGTGGGAGGTGGGGGTGGGTGGGGCAGGGAAAATTGTGGGGGGGAAATGGAGACAACTGTACTTGAACAATTTAAAAAACAGGAAATTGAAAAAGACCCAATGATAACATCAACATATTTTAATGTGTTTCTCTTTTTGTTTTCTAATATTACAAATTCAGTGAAATAGTTTTTGAAGGAAAAGGCTCATAGTGATATTTTTGTGTTGATATGTATGTGTCCTCTTTTTATTATGCTACAATTGCCATTTGCTAAATGAACCAGAATTCACCCAATGGTTCTTTTCTAAAACAAGTCTAAATTGAAAGTTTATAAATGTCTTTGAATGAGTCATTCAAGATTGTATAATCTTTTCCCATTATTACTCATTTCTGTATGTTTGGATCTCAGCTGGAGAAGAAAGAGCAAATGCCAAACAAGAACAAAACTGGTTTTTGTTGAGGTGTTTACAGAATAAGCAAAGTCTGGGTTTTAACTGGAATTTAATTCAGAGTTCCATATGAGTTCCTCAAGTGATCCCTGTTGAAGATTAAAAGTTTGCTGCCTTAAAGCAATAATTCTTAAATAATTTTTTAAAGTGTTGGCTCTAAAATAAAAATTTCCATTACTTTTTAAGTTGTCAACCCCAATTTTTTTCATCATAAAGTTAAAAAATTGCAAAGGATGTCATTTTTTGGCATATTTTAAATATTGCCATTCTATAGTAAACATGTAACATTACTCTTTTAAATACAGTCAGTAGAATCTAAATAACATAATGATTTGAATCCTACTATCATTCATTTAAAAATACTTCAAGAAAATACTTTTTAACAGATACTTTATTTTTTCTTTTCTTATTCTTGGACTTGTTTCCTTATTTCAGTTCTCCCCATGGAGTTTTATCCAAATATTATACATATATATGCTTGAAAGTCTTCTATTGATTAAGCTATCAAACATATATATATATATATATATCCAAATTTGTAGATTAATATGAAAATTAATGTTCTCTTGGGAACATAAAGGTGTGAAAGTTAAAAATCTTCTCCTGGATTGACTTATTATTGTACTTTACTGATATATATCGATCAAAACAATATTATACTCTTGTAAAATTTAAAGGATTATTATACCAATTGTAAAATTTTATTAGAAATATATTTCAACGAAATGATTAGGGCTATTTTTATCCCCAGTTTGCATCTCCATTAGTAAGTGTTACTTAAAAGTAGAATGTGTCATGGCATAACATCAATTCCATTTCTATTTTGTTTTTATCAATTTAAACACTAAAAATTTGTTCACAGAAGTAGATGGAAATGATAGTTTTATTATGCAATGCTACTCAATTTTTTTTGCCTCTCAACTTTTTTTATCTCTTCCTGAATTATATGCCAAAAGTCACATAGTAATCTATCAAATGTTTTCTCAACTGGCATCTCAATGAAGTCCTTCAGAAATTTTTTTGTAAAGACCTGACTTAAAAAAAGATTTGATTTGTACAGTGTCATCAGAATCACTCATTTTGATTCATTCTTTTGTTTGTACACTTTTACATTCCATGGCAATGTGTCATGAGACTCAGGAAGAATGAGAGGTGCATTTGATATGGTGGGTGTTTTTTATAAAGTGGGAAAAGAGCAATTGTCTAGAGCCTTTGTTCTCCAAGTTTGTTCCCTGAAATAACAGCATTCACATCACCTAGGAACTTGTAAGAAATGCAAATCCTCAAAACCTATGCTACTGCGTTAGAATTTTTGGGAGTCAGGTGAGCAGCCTGGGTTTTCACAAGCACTCCAGATGCTGCTGGTGCAGCTCAAGTTTCTGAGAACTGGTGTAATGACGATGCAACATAGAATGAACAGTCCCCACCACAGACACCATTCTACATAAATGAGTTTTAGGAAAGAGGCCAGATGAAAACTGAAGTTCAGGAAATTGCTTCCCCTTATGTTCCTATGTGCCCTTGGAGAGTCTGGGGTATTCCCAGGGTAAGCGACCCTGGTTTGGAGACCACTGCTTTAAGATACACAGTCTGTAAAGTACTTTCAGATTCTTAGCACACTATCCACCCATGTTTATGAGCACATGTGTTCTATCAGTTGGCAGGGATTGCTCTCCACACTTAGGGTGGACCTCTGGTTTCACAAGTGAGGAAAACTTTTTCTATGGGGAGAACTGGATAAAACAGCATGATTAAAATGTATTATTTCTTACAGGATAGACCTGAAATAAAGTTTGAGATGCAAGAATTGAGACAAATTTAAAAACAGAAACAAGCCAAAAAAAGAAATAATATTGTAAATTCTCAGCAACAGCCAGACAGGAAAAGGAACTTCAAGTTCAATGGGGAGTCCTATGGGGGTATAGGTAAGAGAGTCCATGGGAGAGAAGTGATCTCTGAATAACTACTGTTCCTAAATCCTATCGCCCTCTCCCATTAACTAGATCGAACTCACTGTTCATTCTGTAATATATATTGAGTACTTACCATGTGCCAGACACTATGTTAGATATCAGGGATACCTCCATAAACAAGACAGGCCAAGTCCCTGTCCTCAGTGGCTTGTAAGGTCTAAGGGAAAGGTTAGCAATGGAACTAAAGCAGGAAGAAATCTGATTTCTCAAAATGCTTTTGCTAATGCCTCCATTCTTGGCCATCTCTTTGTCCTACTCTCCACCTTTACCTGACTCCTTATAACCATGGCCTTAATTACTTTTTACATTATGGTAACTTCCACATCTCCTTCTTTTGTGTTATGGGCGTATATTCAGTTGATGGATGTCATGGGTACATTAAAGTCTGTATGTCCCAACTTGAACAATTATTCAACCCTCCTGCTAACCATCCCATATATATCTTTTAAAGTCTAGGAGTAAAAAAGTCATTCTGACCTCCTAATTTATTGCCCATATGCAACCAATCACAAAATTCTACTAATTTTAACTCCAAAAGTTTCTCATAGCCATCATCTTCTCTCTATTCCACTCTCTTCAACATCTCATGTAGTATTAGTATCTCTAGATGCATCACTTTCAATATAATCTTTTGAACTACTATAGAGTATTCTTTCAAATGTGCAAATCAGAGCCTGATATTCTCTAGCTCAAAATTCTTCAGAACTTATTACCTACAAAATAAAATCAAATTTTGTATACATAGCAAAATGCTTTGGGGGGGAAAGAAAAGAAACACTGTCCTAGGAATTCTGGGTTTAAGAAGAATGGAGGAATTGATTTAGAAATCTTAAATAAATCAACCATTAAATTTAAGATTTAGTTTTTCTCTCTTAATTAGACCAGTTTGGCTTCCTGTTCAGTTTCTGATCAAAGGTCAGGCATGAGCCCTTGTAGCAGTTGTACATAAGGCAGA